GGGAGCTGACCCACATGGCACTGCAGACCTCTCCTGACCCACCCACTGCTCCCCTCAGCAGTGTACTTCGTCAGTTGGTCTGTTCTGCTCCCCAATCTGTCTCGGGTGAAGCCTCTCGCTGCCCCTGCACCTCTAGCCTGTACCCCAGTTCTGTCTGCATAAATAAATAAATCTCTTAAAAAATAAAATAAAATACTTTCACTACACATGAAATTGTTTAGTTACTTAAAAGTGGGCTTGGCACTGACATAAATTGATATCACAAATTTAGGGCAACCACTAAAAAGGAGTGTAACAAATAAGCTAAGATTGGAATGAAAACAGAATCACAAAAAATGTTTAGTTAAAACCCTAAAAGGTAGAAAAAGAGTGTTTTGTTTAATTTCTACATATTTATATACTTTTCCAGTTTTTTCATGTTATGACAATTTATACTTTCATATCATTACAGATTGGAAGCTATTGGTATGATTTGATTCTTTTTAAATTTACTGAGATTTGTTTGGTGTCCTCTTTATCCTCAAGAATGTGTCATTTACACATAAGAAGAAACACGGCAAAGTTTTAATTTTAATAATGTCTACCATGCTGGTTTTTTTTTAATTATGCTACAGTTAGTAAATAAAAACTCATTGCCAAAACCAAATCACCTATAATTCTTCAATATTTCTCCTTGAAATTGCTTAGCTTTGATTTTACATTTAGGTCTATGATTCATTTTAAATTAATTTCTATGAAAGGTGTATGGTCAACAGGTGAGACAGGAGAGGTCTGCTGCACCACATGTGGGTTAGTTCCCTGACTGGGGATAGAACTCAGGCCATGTGGGGTAATAGCACTGAGACTTAACCCCTACAATGCCAGGGAGGCCCCAAATTACTGATTTTTAACGCAGTAATAGAAAATATACGAAAGAAGCCTTGGACATAAAGCAAAAAAAAAAAATCTCTTAGGGTAAGTCACAGGGCACAGCAAGCAAGGGACTGAGTCCCCAACGGTAAAATGGACAATGTAAGAAAGCAAGCACGTGTACACTGAACATTCAGAAAGAAATGAAGCCTGAGAAATCCAGAAGGAATGAAACATTTTTTCACAAATTAAGATGTTTCCTCCCAATGATGTTAAAGACATGCACGTGAGAATTTTAAATCCTTATTATTTTTACACTACTCAAAGCTTAAAATGATCATGCAACTCAACTTCTGAGCATGTTCTCTCCATGAATATTTCTAGAAATACTGGGATCCTTAGACAGTATAGTCCAAAATGAAGTGCACTCATACTAATTTTTACCTCTAGTAAGCTCTCCATTCATTTTTCTTGAACTCTCTTGAAGCTTAGAAAGCTCTTGAGAAAGAACTGAAAAACAGGATAACACCATACATTTTCCAGCTAGCATTTTGCTTTGTATAGTTACTTCCTTGTATTTTTTAATGGAATAAATTCTACAAATGCCCAGTTACTTGATTATGGGAGAATCCTGCCTATGGAAAAATGTTCCCACATACACAAAAGTTAATCCACCTGTGTTTGAGACCATAGACTTCTCCAGGAATAGCTGAAGATGGAACTTGAAAGAGGACATGACATAGTTCCTTTATAATGTGTCTAAAGGAATTCATTCATCTCCCCCCTCAATACTAAATAGATGACAAGTACAAACACTAAACCTGGAGGATGAGGTATGGAGAGAAAATGGTTTAAACCTTCCATCTGAGGATGTTCAAAGAGAGGGCCTTTGGGAAAAAGCTGAGTTAATTTGGGGAAGTTCTGGTTTTACTTGTAGAACGGGTATCAAACAATTCTAGCACGACCAGGAGGATACTGTTCTCTTCATCTTCCTCTGTGTCCTCTCTACCTCAAGTCTTTTAACCCTCAGTGCACTGATATGCTCATCTCTCACAACTTAAAACTAACTTCTATCCCTCCAGTGAACTCTTTTTCTCTATCCTCTGCACCTCCCATTTGATCCTTGATCCCCACATGCGGGCTTCTGCTTCCATCACCACCCTAACTTGCTCTTGCAGTGGGTCATCAGTAACAGCCTAGGGCCTCTTGCTAGGTATCTTCCTCTTTGACTTCCTGCAGTTCTTGACACAACTCACCCTTAACTCTTGGGACACTACTCTTTCCTGTTTTTGCCTCACCTTCTTTGCTGTTTCTCCTTATAAACCTTCATAAGTCCCACCGTAAAAAGATAAAATTTTTTCAAGTTTAATATTCCTCAGAATTCTTTGCATACCTTCTTTCTCATACTAAATCCTTTCCCTGAGTGGTATCAGGTGTCCCCATGGTTTCCACTACTACCTACATGCAAACATCTTCCGAAGCTTAGACCTCTCTATTGAAACCCAGACAAATGTCTCATACTGTATATGTCCACTGAGGTTGAAGAGTCATATCTAACTCGAATTCTAAATTCCCAAAATTTAAATCTTCATCCCAAAGCTACAACACATCCTATTCTATCTGCCTCTGAGTATTTCATAACTTCTGAGTTACCAAGTCAGAGTAGTGAAGCCACATTTAATTTCTCTTAAACTCTTATTCTTGATCTAAATATTCATCACCCCCTAATCTTTGATTCTACTTCTTCACAAGCATTCAGAGCTATCCCTTCTTTTCTTTCTCTACTACTGCTAGCATTAAATAAGGTAACAATGTTTTTTCAATTCATAATGAACTGACTTTCTGTTCTCTTAGCTTCCAATTTTGTCCTGATGTATCTATTTTATGCTCCTCTCCAACAGCACACTTGTATTATTCAAATTTTCTTATGTTACACCCATATTTTAAATTCTTCAATGCCTCTCCATGAGTGTGGCACATTGTAAAAATAACCATAGTTTTCAACTCTCCCTATGTCCATACCCCTTTGCAAGCTGATCGCTCATCTTTAAGTATGTGAGGTGTAATCATATAAATTGAATTCGATTTAAGACTTCCTTTGGCAAATAAAATGTGCCACAGTAATGCTAGTTAGTTCCAAGCTAAGGTCTCACTCACTCTGGAAGACCACTATCTTGAAAGTCACCATTTAAGCAAGCTCAGATTAGTCTAATGAATTATGAAAAGAAAATGTGACCAAATTGCTCCTCAAAAAGTAAACTACTTTACTGTTTTTGCAGGAATAATTTCAGCTAGAACCAAAAGAACATCCCAACTGAGCCCAATCCAAACTTCCTTTCAAAACGCTGGATCATGAGCTAAGTAGTTTCTTTAATTCATCAGGTTTTAGAATGATTTATTAAAAAGAAAATGGATGTAGTAAACGTCAAAGGGAAAATTAGATTTCTTACAATTGTATGCAGTTCTTTCCTGAAATGAGTCCTGCTTGTTACCACTACTTCATTTTTCATACTTAATTTAGCAGCTCATATTCCAGTTATTTATATTTATGTTCCCCCAGTGTTTTCATGGTCTCTCACATTTCTGAATCATTCTTCCTATATAGAGCTGCAGACTTCACCTCCTCTAAAAGTCTGTCTGTGTCTCCCATGACTCCCACTGTGCTGGTTGTTACCACTGTGACAGTGTTATAACCACTGGTTCATTTCACAGTACCACAATCCTCTGAATTTTCTGAGACCAAGAGCTATGGATGGCCATCATTGTTTACTGAGTGACTAAATGAATGAGTAAAATATTTACCCAAATATATGCTGGCTTTTATACCTTTTGAAAATCTGATAAATTCTTAAAGACAAAGATATATAGAAATCCTAACTATTAGCAAATTGACGTTTAGATCTCACACTGTCATGGCCAGGACAGAAATAATTTAGGTGAAAATCCATTGGGAAACTCTTCTGGAATATTTCTTCCCATTTCTTTCTTGTCTGTCAGCTCACCCCAGAATATGTGCCTCTACATTCAAAAAGGTCTGGCCTCATAAGCATTGCTAAAGATAGATTCCTCCTCACACAACTGGCAAGTGTAGAAATGGTGCTGTAGCTTTCACTTTCTACCAGAAACACTTGCATATATATATATATTCAATTTCTTGCAGCGTAGATCCCATTATATTTTATAGAAGAGTAACTTATACAAAAGGGCAAAAACAAATTCAAATAAAGAAAATCTATGGATAATCATTAAGTCTATAACCGTCTAAAAAGACTTCTTTCCCAATTCCTGGACAAACCCATAGATGAAGGTCAGTGTCTAACGGGTCTCTTCATGCAGGGCAGACATTGCTCATTGACTCAGTTGGATACTTACCGATAAAAGCAGTAAAAAATGATATCGTCAATAGCATAAATATCAGCAAAGTGGCAACAAGTAGCTTGATAATACCAGAGTTACTTTTGAGAGGGTTACTATTGAGAGGGCTGGTCTTTTCTGTGAGAGGAGCTGAAGGAAAAATCAAATTAATTTCATCAGTAATGAATACTGAACTTTCCTTGTTCTTCCCTTTCCCTTCTGTTTCTCCCTTTTCTTAGATGACATACTATTTCTAACAATATGACATTTGAAATAAAATGAAAATAGGAAGAAAATAATAATGTTCATTGCAGAAACTTTGGAAAACTCATAAAAGTACCGAATTCCTGCCACTGAGAATAATAGTTGCTAGTATTTTGATATATATCCTCCTAGCAACTTTTAATGCATATGTATATATATTCTCCCATAGCATTGGCACACCATACACAAGGTACAAAATTCCAGTCATAAAATACATAAGGCATGGGGATACACTACAGTAAGGTACTATAGTTAATTACATTATACATTACAGTGTTATTAAATATTATGCATACTTGAAAGTTGCTAAGAGAATAAATCTTATATACTCATTACAAGCACAACATTCTTGTGAACCATGTACGGTGACAAATTAAACTAGACTTATTGAGGTAATCATTTTACAAATATATAAAGATGTCAAAGAATTACATTGTAGTACACCAGATGCTAATATATTGTTGCATGTCATTATACCACAAAGAAATATTTTCTCAAAGTAATGATATATTTCTAAATGGGGGAGTGGGAACTTAGTAATGTATATAATCACATTTTTAGAAAAAAAGGAATATTTATACCTGGAAGTACATAACACTGAAATTTAAGGTATGTCTAGATGGCAAGAATCAATTTGTGTGCACCTCTAGATTTTCAATTCTTTCTATAATGAATGTTCCAACATAGAATAGTAAAATTTGTACAATGTTTTTAGGAGATAGACAGTTTTCCTGAGTATTCTCCATAACTCCACAGGAATGTTTTCAAAAATATGAGTAATCACGACCCCTACTCATCAGTTCTTACATTCTGAGAGCCTTTTTTTCTCTTTTGCACCATATCTGAGTTATCATACTTGCTACCCAAATTACTTTTCACTTGCTCCCAGTTTTAGTTGAGTCCATCTCAGAGATGATTAAGGATGGATTATCAGATAGCAGAGTATTTTCTCTTGAGATGTAAGGGATTTTCTTTGAAAGACTTGCTCATCTTTCAACTGCAGTGGTCTTTTCCTCCATTTCACTAAACTAACAAATAAACCCACAACACTCTCCACCCAAACTGTTTCCCCTCCTGCTGATCAAAGCACATAGCCCACTATTCACACACAGCCCCTGCCTCTGGGCTGAGGACTTCAAGACCTGAACCAACCTCATGACTGCAGTCTCCGCCTCAGGTGCTGGGGGCCACAGCTTCTCAGCACATCAGCACTCTCCTCAGCTCAGAACTGCCGTGAATTTCTCCTGTCTCAGTTTCTTTCTAGCACAGCTGTACAACCCTTTACTGCTTATCTTCAGACAACTCAACCTTCTGAGAATGCTCCTATTTCCCCACTGTGACCCATTGGAGAACCAGAATCTCGCAGATTCCATGCTTAGTTCACAAAATTATCTCTTCCTCTTCCCTCTTAGCATTACATCTGACCCTCAGAAACTCTTACCTTCAGGAACCTTTGATAAAGGGTCTGGAACCTCTAATTTAGGGTCTGAAGACTTGGATTCATTTTTGAACTTCACTTCAGCATAAGTGATCTCTGTAGTCATTTTGAAAAGAGAACTTCTACTCTGCAAACCTCTCTCACGGTGGCCCAATCCCCAGCACCAGCACAGTGAGAAGGAACTCAAAGGGTTAAGGAAACAAATAGGAAGGAAAGGAAAAGAGGAACTAAGCAACTACAGAAGTCTTTTTTGAGAACTGTATTATCTGAACTCACTCCACAAAAGTAAAATTCAAGCAGTCTTATGCATCCATGAGAACTAATACTTTGTTGACTAACCAACTTGGAAGTATTCTCTTTCATGCTCATGCATCTCATCCATGACTAATCAGGCAACTTTATTTTCATCTATTCAGATAACGTGTATACTAGGTCCACACTGATCCTGTTGGTCAATGCAAGGCAGCTGGAAGATCCGTGAATGGGGCCAGGAAGTAAGGACACTATATCTACAAGGAGACGCGTCACTGAGGAAGAAATACATGGCTTAGAACAGTAATACTACTTACCCCAATTCTTTTGTCTTTTTTCATTTGGGCTATTATAACAAAAATATCAAAGATTGGGTGGCTAAATGATTATTTATTTCTTAAATTCCTGGAGGCCAGGAAGTCAAGATCAAGGTGCAGACAGATTCCACATCCAGGGAGGGTGACTTTGCTAGCTCATAGATAATCATCTCTCACATAGATGATCATGTCTTGCATGGCAGATGGAGCAAAAGAACTCTGTAGGTCTGTTTTATTTTATTATATATATATATATATATA